TTAATGCGCTATCCTGGCGTCAACCAGGCTTGGTCGAACACCTGCGGACCTTAACCAAGGTTCCCCCAAAGTCGCATGAAGTGAATGAATCTCGGGTAGTGGAATTGGCCTTCCCATGGAGTCTGTGGCACACTCACCCAGGGTAGGGGTCGACCCTTTGATGTTCAGCCTAAGGTAGGATTTGAACTTGGGTCTACCGATTATAAGTCTGATGCAACAACCACTATGCTACCAGTGACCGGTGTCTGCGTGCACCTTATTAGCTTTTCAAATTATCAAAATAATTCTATAAAGTATGACAAACACTAAAACATACCAGAATGTCATTGCATGGTTCTTTAAAATGACTCCCTACAAACCAATCATCGCCACTCGGCATCAACACTAGTGGATGTGAATGGTGTCCGATTGCCCAGGTATATGATGATAACGCATTCTCACCGATAACATTAGACTGGTTTACCCGTGTCATTGTAACTGTCTGACATTGACTGAAAAGTCTGTCGTCACGCCACCACCTAGTTAGCATACCTGCGTACCCGACTGAATGCGTTCTTGTTTACCATTCTGATATCGCCAAAACTAAAATAAAATCAGCTCGATAGGCTAACCCAGAATTAATGATGCTGGTCGTGTACTTTCAGGTTAGTTGTCCAATTATAGTATTTCGATAAACATCATGATTGCCGAAGACATGATACGATATCAATTCGACCCTTGAACTTGGCAAACAATGACATATGAATCCAAATAACGATATAAATAACTCTCTGTGACCAATTTTAGACTTTCTTCTTCTTTAAACAAAAAATAGTTGTAGTCGTTCCTAGTAGTCCTGGTCACAAGCAACATGCCGGGGTTGCATGGTTTGACATGTTTGCTTAATTCCGTCCTCGGGCTTTAGACAAAATATTACTTCTTTTCCAAAGATGTCAATTTAATGATTGTAAATCAGATGTGTTTGATTCGAGTGTAATTCAATTCAACTCAGGTATCAACGCTTTTATTTGTATTTTAATATTGGGCCAGGAGGCTCCACGTTCTGTCATGATTCCAATCAATATGTGACCCTCTGAGGATTCGTTTTGCGATACGGGTCATTTTTGTTATTTCCGTTTCTGCTGCAATTTGGTCGATCAATTCAATCTAGTCCGTCGTGGCAGTGTTTAAGTGTTTAAATCAATATGCGAACATAGTTCTTTGTCACTGAGAACTATAGAATTACTTCGTGTTTGTTTATCGTCAAGCATACGAATAAAAGACACATTTAATGAACTAGTAAGGTCAGAAATCATCAAACAAACCGTTTTTCCATTCGTTGTCGCGGTGGGAAAAGACGGATTTGTGTCGTTGACTGTGTTGATTTTACAAACAATCTAACAACGGCACTTTTTAATCTGTGAAAATTAAAAGAGAGATGGTAACCTATGGGATAGCCACCTGTTGATTGTCATCTCAGTTCACGTAATACCATGGTAAAACAGACGTACTTTATAACGATAAAAATATTGAAAACTAACTAAAATATTCAATTCAACAAAGAAGTCCAGACTTTGCTAGTCCATTTATAACTGATATCAATATTATAGGTATACTTACCAGATTTACCGACGTTCGGACATCCTAAAACAACCACTTTGGCTTCAATACCAGTCATTTTCACGCTGAACGACGGTACCCAGTATCATGAATTTCGGCAAAGGCAATGCGGGTACCTCAAACATACGCCGTCAATTTATGCAGACAGCCAGCACCGTGACTAGCTAAGTAATAATTGATAACGGCACTAGTTATAATCCTAATGTATATTAGCGATGACTGTCACAGCGATTTTTTCGACAATGTTCCAAATACTCTGTTGATCCTAGTACACGTTTGCTGTTCGAATTATTTTGCAACTTAACTTCGAAGACTGTCGGATGCAGCGAACCGTAGACCACTAACAGTGCCACGAAGTGTGAATAGAACGTAGAGCGTGAGAGATGAACGGAACACAGCTTGGTCTTCGCACGGACTATGCCACTACTTCCACAGGGGAAGTCAATGATCGGTGTTTTTTTTATATAGCTCATTAAACTAGACCCGCCCGTCGGTGACTGACCTGAAAACACCGTTTAAATGCAGGAAATTATCATTTAATTGAGTCATATATTTAGCTAATACCAGATTAGAACTACGTATTTGCCCCTCCCGCAGTGACACATTTGACCCCGGAAGTATAATCATGTTACACTTGTCCGCTCTCCTCTTCGATAAGACAGCATAATACGATTATCTCTATATGCAAATATCTCCCATTATATGTATGTATATGTTTTTCCCACTAACCTTTGTATATCCGTCGTGCATTGCGTTGAATTAGATAGATATATTTATCCACCGACCCCCCAAAAAATACAACTTACGTGGAGAAAAGACGTAGTTCAGACTGAACAAATTTAAGGAGAAAACTTTATTCTTGCATCGAGATTATGAGAAATGTCCGCAACAATTCTTCTTTCCAACACATAACGATCACAGATGTGGTTTACGTATCGAACTAAAATACTGAAAGTTTGTGCAGTTCTTTTCTGCGTTTTCTTATATTTGCCCATAAATTTTCATAGTCTAGAGGTCAATGATTTTGAAGGGAAATAGCAAAAACAGGTTTATGTTTTTATATACGGTGCGAAAAAATTGTCTTAGTGACTTTGCCGGTCAAGGGTTTTTTATTATGAGCAACATTAATATGTGATTTTAACATATGCCGAAAAAGGGTGATAATCAATAAGTTAGAAAAACATGTATCGTAGTTGAGTTCATATCGATGGCTGGACCAACTCGACTCATGCCGAACTCACACCTTCCACCGACGTCTTTTTCAGAATTAAATGTCTCATGACACAAATGTATATGCACACCATTTGTTACAAGTATTTATTTAATTGGAACATGTTTACATGTTACCATCATTCGAAATACGAAAAAATGATCAATATAATTTAAAGTCTTGTAAACCAATATAAATATTTTACGTCAAAGTCAGGTGACCAAAATAATTACTTTATATTGTAGAAAAATACTAGATAATTGTAGAAATAAAATAAAGCATAACATCATTTCTCATCCGTGTCGACTGTAAGATACACTTTGTTTGTGTGGAATTTGAGAAAATATACGAGCGAGTCGCAAAGTATACAAGCGAGTCGCAAAATATACTATAAAGTCGCAAAATACAAGAATATATTATGTTCACATAATCGCCATAAGAAAACGATAAAGTGAAAAGGTGCGAGGAGTATCTTAACATCTTGCAGGAAAAATTGTTTTCAAAAAAACAGAGATGAAAAATTATCCCGGTGGTAATGCTTCAGTTTGATTAAAGCAATACCCCCCTCCATGTAGCTCGAGTACAGCGCCAGCACCGGCGGATGGTCTGCAGCCTTAATTGGAGTAGACACAGAGGTCCCCGCTAAAACTTTCACGATTGAAATCGGCGGAAATATGTAAATATAGAAAGGAATTTCACTTTGTTGTCGAGTTTACATGCAATCTGAGATCTAATTTTTTGTGAATTTGTTTCTATAACAACCGATTCCAGCCGAGCCAAGTATTTATTAATAGACGGACATAATTCGACAAGTGCCGAGGATGGTCCGAATCAAACTGACTCGAGTCAGAGCCTTGAGGCGAGGTTTGCGTGCCAAGACCTTCAATATTAACGGAATGAATGTTAGTGATATATTGCGTATCTGAATGTAAATGATGTAGATTTCCGGCACTAAATAAATTATATTTTGACGGATGTTGTCCACTTCGTGTTCCTTAAACAGACACTTGGTACCACGCCCTAGTACCGTCATTTAAAATAGAATCGATTACAATATCGCCGCCTCAAACAACGCACCAACAAACATACAGAGGGACTACTGTATGCTTTTATACAAAATATATTCTCGATAACAAGTTTTAAACAGGTTTGACTACACTTTGTTAATTTGGTGCATTTACTCCTGGTGAAACACACATTTAGACTCACCATGACAACCCAGAACTCTCACATACGTGCTAAATCGCGATTCTTTGTTGAGGACGCTCTGTTTTAGGCATCGGAATCAAGACCACGGTGACCACGCTTGCAACTTTTTATCTGTGTTCTATTATAACTTGTGATTGATGGCGTACTCAATGTAGTACCGACACATTTACGTATTGCTTTCTGACTTATCAGCAAGGTTCGGTGATGACTGCCACTTTTTGTTCAGCGCTTACCATCAAAGCTTTAATTTCACAGCATTTGTAAAAATAATAATATTATTGACATTATTCATTTTGAGTAGAACATAGTCAAATCTATAACTAAATAAAAAATACATTGTATGTTCCACCTGTACAAACACACGGCCGCATACCAACGCATATTACAACGTTACCAGCCAACAAGGACACCTACACAAATGTAAGGGAATGATATTATATATCTTTGAAAAATGGATCATTGTGAATAAATATGGCACAAATATATTATAATGTTATTATCGTTGTTAATTATAGTGAAGTAATTGTGTTCATGCATTTATTCCAAGCAACATTGCCGCCACGAGATACTAGACAACAGTTCCACCACAAGATACTAGGTAACAGTGCCACAAGGAGATACTAGACAACAATGACACCAGGAGATACTAGACAACAATGACACCAGGAGACACTAGGCAACAGTGACACCAGGAGACACTAGGCAACAGTTCTACCACGAGATACTAGACAACAGTGACACCAGGAGACACTAGGCAACAGTGACACCAGGAGACACTAGGCAACAGTTCTACCACGAGATACTAGACAACAGTGACACCAGGAGACACTAGGCAACAGTGACACCAGGAGACACTAGGCAACAGTTCTACCACGAGATACTAGACAACAATGTCACCAGGAGATACTAAACAACAGTGCCAACACGAGATACTAGACAACAGTGCCACCACGAGATACTAGACAACAGTTCCACCACGAGATACTAGACAACAGTGCCACCAGGGGATACTAGGCACCAGTGCCACCAGGAGACACTAGACAACAGTGCCACGAGGAGATACTAGACAACAATGTCATCAGGAGATACTAGACAACAGTGCCACCAGGAGACACTAGGCAACAGTTCCACCACGAGATACTAGACAACAATGTCACCAGGAGATACTAGACAACAGTTGCACCACGAGATACTAGACAAAAGTGCCAGAACGAAAAACCAGACAACAGTGCAAACACAAGATACTAGACAACAATGTCACCAGCAGGTACTAGACAACAGTTCCACCACGAGATACTAGACAACAGTTCCACCACGAGATACTAGACAACAGTGCCAGAACGAAATACCAGACAACAGTGCAAACACAAGATACTAGACAACAATGTCACCAGCAGGTACTAGACAACAGTTCCACCACGAGATACTAGACAACAGTGCCAGCACGAAATACTAGACAACAGTGCCAACACAAGATACTAGACAACAGTGCCACCAGGAGATACTAGACAACAGTTCCACCATGAGATACCAGACGACAGTGTCACCACGAGGTACTAGGCAACGGTGTCACCAGGGGGAAACTAGGCAACAGTGCCACCCGGAGATACTAGACAACAGTGCCACCAGGAGATACCAGACAACAGTGCCAACATGAGATACTAGACAACAGTGCCACCAGGAGATACCAGACAACAGTGCCAACATGAGATACTAGACAACAGTGCCACCAGGAGATACCAGACAACAGTGCCAACATGAGATACTAGACAACAGTGCCACCAGGAGATACCAGACAACAGTGCCAACATGAGATACTAGACAACAGTGCCACCACGAGATACCAGACAACAGTGCCAACATGAGATACTAGACAACAGTGCCAACATGAGATACTAGACAAGTGCCACAAGGAGATACTAGACAAGTGCCACAAGGAGATACTAGACAATAGTGCCACCAGGAGATACTAGACAACAGTGCCAACATGAGATACCAGACAACAGTGCCAACATGAGATACTAGACAAGTGCCACAAGGAGATACTAGACAACAGTGCCAACATGAGATACTAGACAACAGTGCCAACATGAGATACTAGACAAGTGCCACCAGGAGATACCAGACAACAGTGCCAACATGAGATACTAGACAAGTGCCACCAGGAGATACCAGACAACAGTGCCAACATGAGATACTAGACAAGTGCCACAAGGAGATACCAGACAACAGTGCCAACATGAGATACTAGACAAGTGCCACCAGGAGATACCAGACAACAGTGCCATCAGGAGATACTAGACAAGTGCCACAAGGAGATACTAGACAATAGTGCCACCAGGAGATACTAGACAACAGTGCCAACATGAGATACCAGACAACAGTGCCAACATGAGATACTAGACAAGTGCCACAAGGAGATACTAGACAACAGTGCCAACATGAGATACTAGACAACAGTGCCAACATGAGATACTAGACAAGTGCCACCAGGAGATACCAGACAACAGTGCCAACATGAGATACTAGACAACAGTGCCACCACGAGATACCAGACAACAGTGCCAACATGAGATACTAGACAACAGTGCCAACATGAGATACTAGACAAGTGCCACAAGGAGATACTAGACAATAGT